GCCAGGGCCCCGTCAGGGCTTCTTGATTCGCTCGCTTCCCCCTGGCCGCAGCCCTGCGATGTGGGGTCCTCCGCGTCCCCCCGTGGAGACGCACAGATGGAGGCCCCACAAGCTTTAGACGCCAGCCCAGTGTCCCAGATCTGGCAGAGGACAGACAGCAGTCTGGCTCCAGCCCTCAGGCTGTGGCTAACCCGTGGGTGCGTGCCCAGGAGTCCAAGATCCCAAAGAAGAACTGTTGAAGCACCTCCCACGTGCCAGGCCTTGTTTCAGGCATGAACCAAGACAGACGCGGTTGCTCCTCCCGGGAGCTGGCATTCCCGTATGAGAGACAGGCGGCACAAAAGTCACAAAGAGCATTGTCTCAACAGCGGCACGGGTCACAGAAACCAAACAGAGCAGGCACGACGCGTGCATGGAGGAGGCCACAGCCAGAAAAGGCCTCTCCAGGGGTGTGGCTTCCGAGTGGAGACCAGAAGGATGAGGAGAGATCTGGCGCTCCAAGGCTGAAGGGAGGGCTTGCCAGGAAGAGGGAACAGCCTGGGCAAAGGCCCTGAGGCAAGTGCTCTCGAGGAACAGGAATAAGCGCGATGTCAGGAGCACGAGGGAGGACTGGAGATGAAGGTGGAGTGGGTGAATAGGGTCACAGGCGCCTGCAACCACGGCCATCCTTGTCCCTGGCAGAGCGAGTCTCGGGCTGGCGGCCACCGCAGCCTTTCCGATGACTGACTTCCAAATCACGTTTCTCCGCTTGCCTCGTATACCTGGACGGCACAGACACCCCTCACCAGAGAAAATGCTGCGATTCCAATCTCCTCCTCGACAGCCCTGAAGGCAGAGCTCCGAGGGATGACGCGGTGGGCTCAGGGCCACGTGGGCAGAAAGGGCCAGAGCGCACATGGGAAGCTCTGAGGTCGGGGCACCTGGCTCCCGCCCTGACATTTGGTCTCCTGTGCAGCAGACACTGATTGCGCACAGAATGCATTAGAGACACGTCGGAAGCAGAGGAAAAGAGACACAGCTAACCGTTCCAGGTGAATAGCATTCCCCCAGATCCCACCTGTGAATGTGAGCTTATCTGGAACTAGGGTCTTTGCAGATGCGATCAAGTTGAGACGCGCTCATGCTGGATTAGGTATGGGAGGGCCTTAAGCCCAGTGACCGGCGTCTTCATTAAAAGAGGGCATTTGGGGCACACAAGAACGCCAGGTGAAAATGGAGGCAGAGACGGGAGTCTCCAAGGACACCAGGGATTCCAGCAGGCACCAGGAGAAAGGCAAGAGACAGGTTCTCCCTCAGAGCTTCCAGAAGGAATCAACCCTGCTGAAACCTTGACTTCTGGCTTCTTGAACTGGGAAAGGACACGTGAGTGTTGTTTTACGCCACCCAGTCTGTCATAACTTGTCCTGGCAGTTCTAGGAAATTAACACACTGATAAAAAAAGAAAACAATAGAAAAGATACTTTCTTGGCCAGGCATGGTGATTCACGCCTGTAATCCCAGCACTTTGGGAGGCCAAGGCAGGAAGATCACTTGAGCCCTCGATAGAGTTCAAGACTAGCCTGGGCAAAATAAGGAGAACTCATCTCAAAAAAATAAAATGGCTACTTTCTCGAGTCACCCCCAGACCCTGTTTGGAAATAAGAGTTCATGTCTGAAAGTCATGGTTCCTCACTGGCTGTGAGTAGGCAGTGGGAGAGACCAGCAATGAATCAGTTTGTGGCCTCACAGGAAGCCGGGCTTTCCTGTCAACAAAGCACAAAACGAAACACTGCTGACCTCAGGTCAGAGGACCATCCACCTGGCCACAGTCACAAGACTCAGATGGAGAGAATATTTTCATAGTAGGAAGAAAAAAGTAGGAGATCCCACCAAACTGTCTGCATCTGACCCCAAGACACCCTCTCTGCTCGGGACGAGAGGGCTCCTGAGAAAACATGCAGGCCTCACAAATCTCCGCTCCAGTAATGGGCCTAATGTTTCCCCACTCACCCACTGGACACTGAAAGCAGAAGTTCTTAAGCATTTGGCAACCCCAGGGCCTTTGAGTATCTGGTACGGGCTCTGTATGCATTAATTCTCTCCCCCCCCACCAAAAAAAATTCCAAAAATTGGGAGGAAATTTCAGGGCATTTTGAACTCCTAAAGCTCATTTATTGATGACCAGACATCGGTTTTTCAACCAGGCACTGCGCTACATGCCAGGAATACCAGGAGGGAAGAACAGACAAGCACTTTTCTCCCTGACGTCCAGAGCTAGAAGGGAGGAGTATGAGTTTTCTGTGGCTGCTGTAACAGATGACCACAAACTCGATGGCTTAAATCGACAGCTCTGGAGGCTCCAAGTCTGACACCGAGGTGTTGGCAGGGCTGGAACCAGCAACACCTCGATTCTGGAGGCTGTGGGAGAAGGCGCCATGCCCCTCCTGGTTTCCGACGGTTGCCAGCAGGCCTTGGAGTCCTTGGCTTGTGGACACATCTCTCCAAGCTCTGTCTGCTTCTTCATGTTCCCTTCTCTGTGTGTCCCCACCAATTGGATTTAGGGCCCATCCACAAGTTATTATGATGAGTCAGGGTCTCCCTCTGTTGCTCCGGCTGGAGTGCAGTGGCATGGCCACAGTTCACCATAGCCCCAACCTCCTGGGCTCAAGCGATCCTCCCGCCTCAGCCTTCCAAGTAGCTAGGACTACAGAGCGCGCCACCACAGCCCGCTAACTTTTTAATTTTTTTGTAGAGATGAGGTCTCACTATGTTGCCCAGTCTGGCCTTAAACTCCTAGGCTCAAGCAATCTTCCTGCCTCAGCCTCCCAAAGTGCCGGGATGACAGGTGTGAGCCACTGCGCCAGCCGAGATCTTTAACAATCCTATTTATGAAGACCCTACTTCCAAATACGATCACACTCTGAGCTTCTGGGTGTGGCTTCAGGGAGGATGCTGTTCAACCCGGCATAGGTGGTCAGAGGACTAAACAGCCACCATGGAAAGCAGCGAAGACTAGAGACTTACACAGTGAGTAGAAACCGACTCAGCAGGGGAAGCAGAGAATACACCGGGCAGAACTCGCCCCAAAGATGAGGCCCCATGGAGGCGGCAGAAGCTGATGGAGAAGGAACAGAGGACAGCCAGTGGGTCGGACTTCCTGAGGAGTCTGGTTTATGCCCCCAAGGGTCGGAGGCAGAGGGGTGTTCTTGAAAGTTCACCTGGACAAGGTGAGGAGGATGGGCCGGAAGGGTGACACCCGATGAGGGTCCCCTCCCCCGAAGTGTCCCTGCCTCTGGGGGCGAGGTGCCGTGCTTGAGGGCGCAAGGGGCTGAGGCTCTGTGGAGAGGCCTCCGTGTGATCCTAGCGCGCTCGCTGGAGTGATCTCAGAGCCCGTTCGCGCCAGAAAACCCGGAACCATTCTCCACCTAGGTGGGTCAGGGAGCTGGGCATCTGAACGGTTGTTGGCCTGCCACACACACACCCTCGCCCCCTCTGCAGGAGATCGGAGTTAGAATGTCTTCAGTGTACGTCTGTCTCCCATAAATAAGCCCATGTGCCTCACAGGCTCTTAGCTGCGCTGCAGGGGACATCCTATCCCTAGAATCCCTGGGGGGTTCCATGTCCCCCCGTCTGTGCTCCTGTACATCTGATGCAGACTCCTGCGCTCATTAATGTTTTGAGTCAAGGTCTCACTGTCGCCCGGGCTGGAGGGCAGTGGTGTAATCATAGCTCACCACAGCCTCGATCTCCTGGGCTCAGGTGACCCTTCCACCTCAGCCTCCCAAGACTACAGGTGTGTGCCACCATTCCTGGTTAGCTTTCTTCTTTTCTTTCTTTTTTGTTTTTTTGAGTTGGAGTCTCACTCCGTTGCCCAGACTGGAGTGCAGTGGCCCCTCCCACCACCGCAGCCTCGCCTGCTGGGCTCAGCGATCCTTCCGCCTCAGCCTTCCAAGTAGCTGGAACTACAGGCGTGTGTTATCACGCCCGGCTGATTTTTTGATTTATTGTAGAGACGAGGTCTCGCCAAGTTGCCCAGGCGGGTCTCGAACCCACAGGCTCAGGCAATCCACTCACCTCAGCCTCCCAAAGAGCTGGGATTACAGGCTGAGCCACCGAGCCCGGCAACTTTTTAATTTTCTTGTAGAGATGAGGTCTTGCTACATTGCCCAGGCTGGTCTCCAATTCCTGGGCTCAAGCAATCCTCCTGCCTTGACCTCCCAATTGCTAGGATTATAGGCATGAGCCATCGCACCTGACCCTCATGTACTGTTTGATTGTAATTCTTACTTTCTTTTTAGCCTGTCTCTTCTGCCAATGAGTAACTTGAGGGCAAACATCTTTATCTTGGCCAGGTGTGGTGGCTCCTGTAATCCTAGTGCTATGGGAGGCCAAGGTGGCCGATTGCCTGAGGCCACAAGGATCACCTGGGGTCAGGAGTTCAAGACCAGCCTGGGCAACACAGAGAGACCCCCCCCCCAATC